GCGAGAGAGGAAGATCGACCGAGATTCTTGAATTTAACGGTTTTCAAGTTTTAGTGGAGGTCGACAGGAAGTCATAGAAACAATAGTTTTTCACGTCATGGTCAATGCGCACGAAAAAAACCCTTTCCTTTGAGAACATGGACAGTACCCGCATGGATAGTGCATCACTGATAGTGCCACCATCGGCGACTATCGAAAGAATCATTTGCCGGTCAGAAAAACTCGCATCTAGAATTTAGTTCTTCGAAATTTGCCGTGGCATGCGCAGATACTTATCTAATGAAATGGTCTTAACAAACGCTCTTCTTCAATTTTAACACTCTCTTAGAGAATGCTTATTTGGTGATGACTTTGTTTCTCTACAAGATGGCTCTAAAAAACAACTGAAAGATCTACGTAGTGGTGATAAAGTTTATTCGGTTGATCAGCAAGGCGAAATTGTCAAAGATGAAATCATTATGATTTTACACGGAGGACTAAAGACGGAAGGTAATTCAATTTTTACACCAAAGCTGAATTTGAAAAACGAACAATCTTCTCATTTAGCTCCATTCTACACCATCACAACTTCCTTCAACCAAACCATTAGTCTGACTGGTGATCATTCAATCATGACCTACAGTTTGCGTGAGAAACGTTCAATCGTGGTTGCTGCAAATGAATTGAAAGTCAATGATTACCTCTTGATGGCTGAATCCAGCTCTCAAAATCTGATTCCTGTACCTATTACATCAATTGAACTTCTTTACAAAACTGGTTTCATCACTCCCATGACATACACAGGCACATTATTGGTCAATGGTATTGTAACTTCATGTTATGTGAAACGCCACAATACATACAATGAAATGCACACAATATTTTATCCATTTCGATTGTACTATTATCTGATGAAAGATATCTTTCGTCTGACTGATGAACCATTTCCGGTTGGAATGCAAGTGAAAAGTGTTGTCAAAGAAGATGAATTTTATGGGCACGTACTTGTTAGAAGTATACATCAATCAAAAGCGATGGTAAAATATATTGTGCAGGACTTAGTACTCCATACACTTTTGAATATTTGAGAAAAAAACAATTGTTAGACTTAAGCTGGACACGACACTTTTGAAGCGATATTTGCCTCTTGCCTTATCTCTTTTTTTGCTTTTCACCAAAATAAATCTATTTAATCACAAGTAGGGTGTATCGAACATCGATACACTTGATCCTAGACTGATAAAATTTAAATATTTAGTACATGCACGTCTCTCGGTATGAACATGCTTAACACAAGGTGCTGGATAAGAATAGAGATAACTCAACATGTAACTATCAACTGTGTCACAAAGCCAATTTTTTCGTATTATAAAAATTGAGTTGTATTTTTATAAAGAAGATCGATCCCTTATATATCATATATTTTTTCATAATACTGATGAAATTTATTTTCTATTTTAAATAATGATTAACGACAGTGAATGAATTATTTTTTTGTTGCT